CTGATTAAAACCACTAAAAACACAGAATAAAGCAGTTTCACCTTAAAAATTACTGTTTCTTCCACGCGTTGGGCAGACAAAGAATGTAATGTGGAAATGTACATACAAAAATCGTCCATCAACTAGAAAAACTGTCTTAAGTGCTGCTGTCCTGCCCTTGTGTTGACAGTTGCTTGTGTGGATGAATGATTTGGCATCTCGCTACTGTTTTCAGTTGGAAAGCCTTGGGGGCAGGACAGTGTGTTCACTGAGCAGGTCCTATGATGGATCTGCAATGAATGTCTTGGCCACATACAGAGTATGGTACCCAGAGAGCTTTGGGTTGTCAGAAAACAGAGTTTGTACCATTCGGCTGCCAGTGCGTTCATTGTTTGTTTAGATTGTGTTTGTTTTTGACATTTATCATGCCAAGGCTGGATTACCAACTGGGAAAAGCAGGCAATTGCCCCAGGGCCACAGACTTTGATGGGCCCCAAAGGCCCTTGGTTCACTGTGTGGCATATAGTTTGTATTCATGATTAACATAAACTGGAATGAAAAGCGCTTAATGGCAACTCATGTATTAGATAATCTTGCAGCCCTATGACAAATCCAGTGTGTAACATTTAGGAGGATCTCTTGGCAGAAATGGAATATATCAATAAATCAATCAATCAATCAAATCTAATTTGTAATGCATTTTTCAAACAAGAAAAATGTAATACAAAGTGTTTCACACAATTGCGGAAACGGCGAAGGCCTGAACACAAGCTATATTCACAGAGCATTCAGAGAGGATAACCATCCTCATCCTGGATTAGAAAGGTTAAAACAACCAAAGAGCTCATAGAACAATGGGAAGAAAAGACACAATTCTCTGAATACAAGAACTGTATAAAAGGTTCCTAATAATTTCGTCAACTAGGATCAATAAATTAAAACAATATTTAATGTAGCACACACAAAACAACATACCAGTCTCTGAAATAGTTTTAAGGTGACTTGAGGCTTCTACTGCACATATAGTGCTATGTTTGCAAATGCTGACCACTAGATGTCCTCAAAGTTACACCAAATGTAATGACGGTGGGGAAAGAGGAATGTTCAAGTGCTGTGGGAAATATCACGACTAGATTAATCATGGACGAGCCGACAAAGCGTAAACTGCTGGGGGAGCTAAATGAGGAAGTCCTCTGTAACATCCATATTACCAAGAAGTCATTTTGGGAAGAGAGCAGAGAAGCTGAGTCATTGCTAAAAGTGAGTCAATCTGCTTTTTAGGCCTAAATTTGGTAACACAGGAAACACCCTGTGTAGGTAGCTATGATCAAAAGACTGCTGAACTGTAGGGAAGTTTACTTTTTCTCTGTCTTCAGCCTTGGTGACTTTTTAAAAACTGTGTGTATGTTATATAAATGAACACGTGCCTCACTTCATATTTTCCACTGGATCTCAAAATAGCTCTCTACCACTTGACATGCAAAACAGGCCAAAGGCAGCCCCCCCCCTAGAGCAAGGCAGCCTGTCACAGGATTCTTGTGGTTGCTTTGCATGGGTTCAGGACTTAGAACCCCTCAGAAAGTCATGTTACCGCTTCCTGTAGGGAATGAACAAGTGACCCTGCCTCTCGGAGCTAGAACAATATCCAAGGGGGGCATGAGGCTTATAGCAGTGGGAATGTAGACCTGTATTGCGAAAGTGAAACCATTCGGTTGCTCTCCAGGAAGAAACTTTAAGAATAAATCACAAGACCAGTAGGATGTAGCATTAGGAGGGTTAGTAGTACAGTGAGAGCTTTAACGACTCAAACAGCAACATCGCCAACCCTTGGCTGTGAACTTATTGCTTTTGAACCGGTCAACCACTTTCTCAAATCCATGGCTGACAATGAGAGGAAAATATTCAGTTAGCTTAGCTAGCTAGCCTGATGACCTCCCTGAGTTCCTGCTCAACTTTTAAAATGTTATGTTACAGCATTATAGCTGGTGTGCTTTTAGTCAAGTACGGAGGCACAGTGAAAGAAGTGGGGGTCAGTGGTGCCCCCTAGTGGAGCCAAATTTCGGATCCTGCTGTGTCAAACTTTCGTTTTGTTCATCAAACGAAGAGTAAAGCTTCCATCCCTGGCCAGGAAAGGAACCTGTGCCACAGCAATGCTAACGCAAAATCCTAACCACCAAGTACACTGTAAACAGTTATGTCAGTCTGAAACAGTGGATAGTGATATATAGGTCTTTTAAAGCTGCAGTAGGTAACTTTTATAAACATAACCTTTTGTCAATATTGCTGAAATTTTTACCGTGTCTTGACAATACTACATGAGACAGATAATCTGTAATTGACTCTGGCTCATTCTAGTGCTCCTAAAGACATTTGCAAGAATCCATCGGGCCTGAACAAAAACAACCAATCAGAGCCAAGAAAGACATAAAGATGCTTTGGGTTGGCGTCGAAAATAGTTGATTGTTGAGTCTCATTCCCAGGGTCCCAAAGTGTGTTTGTGTATTTGACAACCTGGGAATGAGACTCAACAATCAATTATTTTGCTTCGCTCTGGTTGGTTGGAGGAGCCAGAGGAACCAGATTTTTTTTTACAGATTATCTGTCACGTGCTACTGTCAGAATATAGTGAAAGTTTCAGCAAATACTACCTACTGCACTTTAATAGCTTAATGATAGTTAATTTAATTCTAGGGGGTTGTGGAAATCTTGACAAACTAATGACCAGGCCTAGTGGAATATCAATCGCAAAATAAAATTTTTGATCTGAAATAATGTGGATAATAGCCTACAGCAGTGGTTCTCAACCTTTTTGGTGTCAAGGACCCCCAAATTGATTCACATATGAAAGATGTAGCCTACTCTCAGCGATGCCCATCTGATAAGATTTAGTTAGGCTTTTTCCATAACTGTCTATGCTGTAGATTGGCAAATGAATAGCGTGTGAACCCTATAAACAGAATAGTCGCTCTTTGTGAATGAAAAATCAAGCGTTACTGAGCCAATATCTATATCCAATAACCTGCTAAAGGCAAACATAAACCTTGTGAAAGGTATTGATCTCAGATAAACTCAGGGCAGAGGTGAACTCTGTTATCTGTATGCACTTGTGGTGCATTTATGTGCAAAAGTTGTAAGAGGTTAGGGCCGGCCAGGAAATAGACACGCCATTTTCCTTTAAATCCCTTAGTCCATTTAAACTATGATTTAAACCCAGTAGGGGAGGCGCTGTAAAAAATAAAATAAAATA